AATTAAAGGTAAGAGTCTAATGGACTTTGCTGCTTGGGCTTCAAACACAGTCCTCAACCCTCAGCCTCCTGAGTAGCTAGGATTACAGTCACAAGCCACTGGTGCCTGGCCACAATGATTTTTTTTTCGAGTCATAGGGCTTCAACTCAGGGCTGGGTGCTGTCCCTTAGCTCTTCTGTTCAAGGCTAATGTTCTACCACTTTGAGCTATAGTGTTACTTCCAGTTTTTGAGTGGTTAATTGGAGGAAAGAATCTCATGGGGACTTTTCTGACCATGCTGGCTTCAAATCTCAGTCCTTAGATCTCTGCCTGCTCAGCAGTTAGGATGTAGGAGTCTCACTCTTCATCTTCTCTTCTGCATACATGTGGATATTTACCGATAATTTCTGCCTTATAAGAGCAAATCTTTCTGAGGAGTTCACTAATTTATTTTCTAAGTAAGCTGCCACTATTTTCCCTTTTCAATTGCCTATTTAGATATCATTTTCTGACCCAAAGCTATAACTAGCAATATAGGATGAACAGGGAAATTCTTTAAGAAGGGAGCAGCCTACCTTTCTACTTTTTCTCTTAAGATGTTACAATAAACAAGTCAGGATACAAATAATTTAAATTACAGTAAATATGACCCCCAAAAGCCCTTCTTTTTCATGTAGTATCTTAGAAATAGAATTGCCCAGTTTGTACAATAAACAACAAATGTTAAGATTTAAGAACTATTTAAGTCCATTTCCCACTTAATGAAACATATCCACATTAGAAAGGAGAAAATTCGGGGCTGGGAAGGTGGCTCCGTGGTAGAGCGCTTGCCTTGCATGCATGAGGCCCTGGGTTCGATTCCTCAGCACACATAAGCAAAAAGATAAAAGCCAGAAGTGGTGCTGTGGCTCAAGTGGTAGAGCGCTAGCCTTGAGCTGAGGAGCTGAGGGACAGCACCCAGGCCTAGAATTCAGGCCCCACGACGGGACCCAAAAAAAAAAAAAAAGGAGAAAAGTCAGGGAGTACCTGATAATCAGATGGCATAACAGGTCCGCCTGAGTTTGCGCCTGAAGGCCCAAGACGTGGCTTCTTGTTTGGGGGCACCTGATTCAGGCTGGAGTCCTGGCTGTGCTGGAGCCCTGCTCCAGCACCAACACCAGCTGTGGTTGCCCCTGTTGTTCCATTGGTTTGGGTGCTGTTCTGCTGTGGTGGAGGTGCCTGTGGAGGGGCGGCTGCCTGCTGTGGAGGAGCTGTGGGCTGCTGATGCTGGTTCTGCTGTTGTTGCTGATTCTTTTATGAAAGGAAAGAAAAAGTAAGTTTGATATAAAACTAAATTAATGAAAATTTCCTTCATTATTTTATATGCACATGTGACTTCTGATCCACCTGTGATACAAGCTGCATGACTCATTAAGTGACTGGAATGACTGGAGAAAGGGCAGCTGCCAGACTACAGCATCCCCAAGGGTCAATATGCTGAATCTTGAACAGAATGCACTCCCCAAAGTTCATTTCAGTATCCTCCAAATTAGTCATAGCCATAAGCACATAGGGAATTGTGTTGTACTCATCAAAATGGTTATAAGAAGTCATTTCAAATCATGAGT